GTGCAGGTTGCTAACTGGCTGGAATTCCAAGATTTTCTTTATCAAAGACAGAGCCACCTCTCAGAGCAGGGGAAGAAGTGAGTAACTTTTCTCTTTAACTCTAGTCTGGTTGGGAGAGCCGTGGGAAGCTGTGGGATGACCAAATCCCTTCCTAACACACAAGGAAAGAGCCTGGTCACAGGACTAACCTGAGAAGGTGGGGTATCTTGAGGAGTGGAGTTGGGGCTGGGAGGGAGAGCACTGGAGGCTCGAAAGGGGAACAAAAGACAGAAACCATCACAAATTGTTCTATCGCCGCGAGTAAATTTGTGCCATCGCCCCAGCCCTTAACCACCATGGGCAGGCCACCCAGGAGGAAAGTGGCTCTGGTCTGCACGTTTTACTGATTGGCTGATGCTGGGCCACAGATTCCTCACCCCCTGTGCTTCCTCACCCCCAGGTTTCATTGTTCTTACAGAAAAGTGGAATTTGTGGTTCCGAACACGGCATTTCCACTTGGTGCATTTCACCTTAACCTGGTGCAGTCGGTGCTCTCTGGCCCATCGTGGGAAAAGGGCTAATTTGGTGCTGAGTTATTACCTTGTTCCGTTGCCTCAACAATTCTGCAAAGCAGGTACTATCACCCTACCCTCCCTCTGCAGAGGAGGGAACTGAGGTAAAAGCGGCTTTCTCAGGGCCTCCCCAGCTGCAGAGTGAGGAAGTGCAAGATCCAAAGCCTCCTGTTTCACGGCAGTGGCTGAGGGTGGGCTGTCCTGGATACTGAAATTGTACCATAAGCTTTTTTCTTAGGATATAGTTGGAATAATGAGAAAACAGTAAAAAATTTGGAGTCTTTTCAAGCCAGACATTTCTAGTTTGACTTAATCTATAAATATTAATTTACCTGTGTGGAGCGTGAAGGATCATATGCGTCTTCAGAAACATCTAGGATTTTGTTAAAATTGCAAATACCCGGGTCCCACCCAGATTTGCTGAATCAGAATCTCAGGAGCAGTGCCCGGGAAACAGCAATTTAACAAAAAACATCCCACGGGGGTTTTAATCACACTAAAGTGTGACTGGTTTTGTTTATTAAAAGCTGTACAAGAGTTTATAAATTCACCTGCAAATAAAGACAAAGCGGGTAGTTTAAAAGAAGTATTAACTTTTTTTTCTTTCTTTTAATACAAATAAAAATCTGGTTGAGTCTCTGTGTAAGTTGTTGGCTTCTGACTGATGAGTGTTTCATGCTTTCAACTACTCTAATTTATAGAACTTTGGTTTCTGGGAGATGATAGTTCTCAGGGAATTTTTAAGATTTGAAATAAATAAGTTCCTGGCCTTTTCTAGTTGAGATTCCAGGCTAGGGAGGCAAAATGGTGCAGAATTAAGTATGAAGCATTTTGATTTAAATATATTTAGATTCGAATTCCAGACTTGCTTACTCACTACATAACCTGGGACAAGTTGATCAGCTTCTCAAAGCCGAGCTTTTCTTATCTATTAAATGGGAGAAGTAATACTACTTCAGAGTATTGGTATGAATATTAAATGAGTTCAGGAACATGATATGTAGAGCACATGGCACGTGGTAGGAATTCAATAAATGTTCTTTCCCAATCCTGTATACATACGAGTTTCTTTTACAAACATCAAATCACGTTGTACACCTGAAATGAACACAATGTTTTATGTCATTATACCTCAGAAAAATTATATAAATTATTTGTTTTATATGAATTCTATATAATTTTATATAAAATTATTATATATATGACTTTATATAAAACAAAAATTATTTTCTCTTCTCAATTTACCACTTATGAAACTACTAGAGGCCCGGTGCATGAAATTCTTACACAGGTAGAGTTTCTAGGCCTGCCCAGCGATCAGGCTGATCAGGGACTTCCAGCTGTTGGCCAGCCTGGACCTTCCTTCTTTCCCGTCGTCCCCTGGTGGTCATAGCAAGTGATGGAACTAGTTGGTCTCCATTGAACTCCGTAGGGGACACTTTGCATAATAGCCTTTTATATATATAGATATTTGGGATTCTATTGCTTTGAAATTACACACACACACACACACACAAATTTAAAACAAGCCTATTGAAAATAAACTTTTAGAAATATATTTTTTCTTGATTTCAGAGAGGATGGGAGAGAGGAAGATAAAAACATCAATGATGAGAGAGAATCATTGATTACATGCCTCCTGCATGCCCCCTCCACTGGGGATTGAGCCCACAACCCTGGCATGTGCCCTGGCTAGAATCTATGACCTTCTGGTTCATAGATCAGTGTCCAGCCACTGAGCAACACTGGCTGAGGTGAAAATAAATTTTATATACACTACAATTAATTTAGAACTATAGCACTCTGATGAAATAAGACATGTTTTAAATTTTGTCATTCATTCTACCAAATATAAGTTCAAGAAAAATATTTTATCTTTATAGCTTTCTAAACTTTATTTTGAATAATATCAAATTTACAGAAAATTGCAACAGTACAAAGAACCTGTATATTCTTTATTCAAATATATATTCTTTATTCAAATCCACCAGTATTTAATATTTTGCCATGTTTTTATTTTCTCTCCAAGTGTGGACACACACACACACACACACACACACTCACACACAGGTTTTTTTCACTGAACTATTTGAGAGTAGATTGCATATATCATGTTCCTTACTAATAGCTTCATTGTTTATTGTGACCATGGATAGTCTCATATGTGACCACATAGATTTGCCATTTCAGGACATTTTGAATTGATTTAATAATTACTATAATCTATAGTTTATATTACAATTTCAGTTGACCTATAATGTCCTCTGTAACAACACCCCCCCCTCCCCCCACAAGGCCAGGATCCAGTTCAGTTCAGAATCACATTACATCTGTTTTATCTTTAGTTGTCTGGTTTTTTTTTTTTAAAACATATTTTATTGACTTTTTTACAGAGAGGAAGGGAGAGAGATAGGGAGTTAGAAACATCGATGAGAGAGAGTCATCGATCAGCTGCCTCTTGCACACCCCCTACTAGGAATATGCCCGCAACCAAGGTACATGCCCTTGACCGGAATCGAACCCAGGACCCTTCAGTCCTCAAGCCAATGCTCTATCCATTGAGCCAAACCTGTTTCGGCTGTCTTTAGTTGTCTTGATTGTGAGCGGTCCTTCAGGCCTTCTTTGTCTTTCCTGGTGTGACATTTAGAATACAAATCATCAATTTGGGTTTGTCTGATGTTTCCTCAAAGTTCCTTTCAGATTATGCATTTTTAACTGGGATGCTTCCTTAGAGATATAGTAGTAGTGTTGTTTCCAGATAGGACATATGCAAATATATGATGTTTATTTGTCCCTTATTAGTGATTTGAATTTTGATTATATTGTTCATTTCTCCACCATAGAGTCACTATTTTTCATTTTTGTAATTACTAAGTAATTTTTAATAACTTATTCAAAACTATGCAAATACCCTGATCATCTTCAAACCCTACCATTATTTTCTACCATAGAGCTTTCTTTTTGAGCTTCTCTCTCATTTATGTACTTACATATTGTCAATATGAACTCATAGATTCTTATTTTATTCAATGGATTATAATCCAGTGCTGTGTTTGTTTATTTATTTATTTATTTCCCTTTTTAAAAATTTCTTTATTAAGGTGTTACATATGTGTGTGTTTATTTATTTTGATACTCAAATTGTACCAGTTTGGCCCGCAGGAGCCCCTTTGGACATGAACCCCTTAATTTCCTGAGCAGTTCCTTACTTTCTACCATAAGATGTTTCAGGCTCATTTATACTTTCTCTGCCCCAACCCTGGACGTAGCCATTTCTCCATAGAACTCTGGTTCCTTTGAATGGGGAATGGTTTTTAGAAATCCGAATCTGGCTTGCACTTTTTCAACGTAGGAATTCCTAAACTCTTAGAGAAGAGGCAGTGAGGAAGAATTTTGTAGACTAAAATCTGCTGTGAAAGCCTAGATTTCATAAGTAGTTTGAATACTTGTATTTTGTATCTTAAGGCTGGGAAAAAATTTTGTAATTACACTGAAACTTCCTAATATATTTACTTACCACATCTTTAGTTGTTTTAAGTTGATCTAAAGGAATTTGGACTACACAGCAGAGATTGCTTCACTGTTGAAATTTTTTAATTGTTTATTTTAGTACTTAATGTTCATTTTAATGAACAAATGTCCTCTCATATAAATAATTCTCATCATGTGCATCCAAGTAACAGGTAAATGAAAAAGCTACAAGATCGTATTTGTTTTCATTTTTAGATCATGCAGTGTGGGTCTATAAAGATTCATTTAATTGAAAATACCATTAAAGAACTTCATGTTTACAGTACATTTGTATCTTCTGGGACACTTGAAGTAACAAAACCTGCTTGTGAGACTTCATTAATATTTTGATAAGGAGAATCTAAATAATTTTTGCATAATTCATCATATATTAATGTTAATCCATCATCACACAACTGGAATATAGTGGGTCCTGCAGCCACCCTCATCTCCAATGAATCATTTCGGCCTAATTCTTGTCTTGCCCTTATTTGGCATTATTATGTTCCCCATAATATTGTTTTTAATGTGCATATCAATGTTTTTAACCTCCAGCTGGGTATGTCTGCTAAGATCATGGGATGGATTTTACCTAATTAAATGAAAGCAGTTCTTCATGTGAACAGCAGCTCTTTCGGCCTCTTTGCCAAGGAAGCTGTGGACACTGATTTGTCCTTATAACATGTGCCAGCTACTCTTTTTTTTAGGGAAAATTCTAAAAATGGTGTCACACAGATGGAGACGTTCTCTCTGCAGGAATGGCCTCCTGAGTCTTCATCTGTTCATGATCAGAACTGGCGTGTGGGATCAGCTGTCCTGATTGTTGACAATTGTGAGGCCTTTGATTGTCAAGGACTGTGTTTGTTTCTCATTGAGTTGTTGGAAGAGTCCTGCTTTAGCTCATAGAGAGATGCCGACCAGTTCTCTTTTCCCTTCTAGAAATGACGCTCCTCTCCTCCCAGTCTTCATCTCCGGTGGCTGCTTCCACGGAAAACCCAGAGCAGAGGATGCTGGAGAAGAGAGCCAAGGTGGTAGATGAACTTCATCAGACGGAACGAGACTACGTTCGGGATCTGGAAATGTGTATTGAGAGGATCATGGTACCCCTGCAGCAGGCACAGGTGGGAACTGGGAGCAAGTTAGCTTTACCTTGAATATGATTCTCAAGCCTAAAGTATCAGGATAAAGGAACTTTCACCACAGAGATTTATTGTGTTGGAGGTCAAGTTTGTGGCTGCTTAATTCAAGGGTCCCAACATCCACATGTCAACTTAAGCCATCAGTATCCCGTCACTTATCAAGTCCACTGTTAACTAATCGGACTTGCTGCAGTAAAACTAGGACATTTCTGTTTATTTGGCTCCTGGAAACAGTACCAGGGAGTCTGGATTGTCACTTTCCTGGAAAGGCTGTATAATAACAATGAAGTCTGGAAATGATTGCGTTCCTGGCTCTAGCAACTGATTTGATTGCACAAGCTTTACTCAGGAAACTCGTTAACTGTCATGTGCATATTATGTGAGGTACTTTTCTGGATGCTGAAGATAGAAAAGAGGTTCACAGTTTCTGGGGATTTATAGTCCTTATTGCTTGTTACTTGACCACCTCAACTGGGTTTGGGTTTGTCACTTCCAAGAACTTCTATAGGAAGTTGGCAGTGCCATCAGGCTTTGGGTACCGGGTGGGAATGTGAATGTAATTATAGACGACATTGTTTCCACAGTCATTTTACTCAGGTAGTAGGGGAGGTGGATGGGGAGAATAGTTGAATCAAGGACTAAGGGTAACACTAAAGCTAATGCTGGATGTTTCTGTTCTGGAAACTTTGTGAGAGTGAGTGAAAATGACCTTCAACAGTTTTTTTAAAATATGTTTTTATTGAGAGAGAGAGAAGAAGAAGAGAGAGAGAGAGAGAAACATCAAGGAGAGAAAAACATTAATAAGAAAGAAACATTAACCAGCTGCCTCCTGCACGCCGCCCCCTCTCCCTCCTCAACCACCACCACTGAGATAGAGCTCAAAACCCTGATATGTGCCCTGACTGGGGATCAAATTAGTGACCTTTTGGTTCATAGGTTGACGCTCAACCACTGAGCAACACTGGCCAAGCTGACCCTGAACAATTTTTGTATCATACTTGAAGAAGTGTTTCTAATGTGAATGATATGCTATTAATTTCATTTTTGTGAATCTTTGTGTTTGTTTCCCTTTCTCAGATACCAAACATTGATTTTGAGGGACTTTTTGGAAATATGCAGATGGTGATAAAGGTCTCAAAACAATTATTGGCCGATCTGGAAATCAGCGATGCTGTAGGTATGAGCTCCAGAAGCAACTTTTTTTTTTTTAAACTTTATGGGTAGAAGGCAGGAGGAGAAGGGCCTTGCTAAGAAACTAAGTTTTAGTTACTTAGTTCAGAGGTTGTTTGGTCTTCAACTTCTCCTTTTATCTGCAGCCTACTTTGAGGTGATATAGAATCTTAGCAATAGAATACATTTTAGCTATTACTGAGTATGTATTTTAGACCAATGGTTGCAACATGATAGTGGATCATGAGGTCAATTTAGTGGGTTACACTAATAAAATAGAAAATATCAGAAAGTATTTTTCTCCTAATTTATTTTACTACCTGTATATTATGACAACAATGACACAGGAAATTAAAGCATCCATAATCTTACCCCTATAAGATATCAACTGTGTTTATTTTTCCTTCTTCCCTTCCATTTCTTTTCCCAAGACAAGCAGGAACTGGGTAGCAGAGTGTGACGCTGAAGGTACACAGGATAGCGGAGGAGAGGGCCTCGGAACGGAATGGTTCCAGACCTTGGCAGGAGTTTTAGCTTCACAAGTGAGGGTCACCCTGCAGGGGCATGTGCATGAGATGGACTGAGACTATATGAGAGCACCATGCGGGGGGCTTCAGTCTGGTCAACCAGAAGGCCAGGCAGTACCTTCCCTGGGAGTTAATAAAGGATTAGATTTGGAACATCTGACGAGGGACTCCTCTGAGAAATTAGAGAAAGGGAAATTAAGTCTTTGTTGAGCCACTAGCAAATGGCACATTGACATGAATTGCATGAGCAAATTTTTATTTTGCTTAAATTTGATTTAACATTTTAAATTTAACTTACCTTAGTTACATTTACACGGCACACAGTCAGAAAGCTACAAAGAACTAATGAAATGTATCCTACCTGTCCCCCAGTACCCAGCTCTTTTCAAACTGAAGCAACCCAGTGTTACTAGTTGTCTTATATCTCCTTCCAGAGATAGCTTATTATATATCAGCAATTACATATATATATTTTTCTACCTTGGTTCACCATCCCTGTTTTTTTTAAATTATACCAGTGTCGGCATACAATGCAAACTGCCTCACACTAAGTCTTTTTCCCTCTCAACACTGCACCTCCCAAGCAGTCTAAATGACTAGGAAAGAGGGGTAACTCAGCAAAAATCAAGGTGATCTACGGTGCTGGAGAAAGTACTAGGCTGCCAAATTAATTTACTAATCCTGATTGGAGAAGGATTCAGTACCACCAGGACAGCATCTAGCGGGAAAGGAAAGGATGACAGGTGTTCAGGGCTTGGATGAGTTAGAAGATGAGGAGGTTGAGAAAAGAAGAAAGTACCAGGAGACTGTGTATGTATTAATATGTAAATGGACTGGCTTTTAAAGTATTTTAAACATGTCCCACAGAAAGAAATATTTTACATAAGGCTCCAGGATATGTGTGCTCGTATGTGTGTGTGTGCCTGTGCTTACTTTTACTATGTCCATTGTTATCTGATATTTTTTTTTCTATTCTGTTTTCCCAAATGAGTGCTAATCATTACCTGTGAAGTCAATTTCATGATCCACTTATGGGTTGTGACCCACAGTTTGAACGATTCTGGAAAGTACTTGCAAACCCCTTACTCTGCCTGACTGAAAAGGGGCTGGAGACTGTCTCAGGGACCAGCTCTGTGTGTGTGTGTGTGTGTGTGTGTGTGTGTGTGTGTGTGTGTGTGGTGTGTGTGTGGTGTGTGTGTGTGTGTGTGTGTGTGTGTGTGTGTGTGTGTACACGTGTACTGAAAAGTAAATACACGGATAACATGTATCTTAAATTTCTTATTAATTGGATGGGTAGTCTTATCATCCTTTCTTGTGGTAGGGTTTAACCGACATTAAAGTTTTCTTATACACCTTACATTTAGGACACTGAGAAAAAATTTACTAAAAACACTGTGTGTGTATTTATCTTAAAGGACCTGTGTTTCTTGAGCACCGGGATGAGCTTGAGGGAACTTACAAGGTTTATTGCCAGAATCACGACGAGGCCATCTCGCTGCTGGAAATCTATGAGAAGGATGAGAGGATCCAGAAGCATCTCCAGGACTCCGTGGCAGAGCTTAAGTAGGAATTTTGACCACTTCACTTCCACCCTAGCTCTTTAGTTCTGCCTTTTGAGCATCACGCCCATGTATATGTCTGTACTGCTTATGATATTCATCATCCGTCTTGTTTTAAACATAAATGATATTACAGGTCCTATTAGGTAACTGGCCTTTTTCCATCGTTTATCATGGAAATCATAAGTGGCATCCTGCTTGTACTTTTATCCATTTCAGGCACTTTTATCTATACATACAAAGTAGTAAGCTGGCATTTTGAGGGAAGAAGTAGCCAGGAAGGTAGTTTAGTCCAAATAGATAAAAGTGTAGATAAGAAGAACAAATCAGTTATCTCTCTCCCTCCCCAACTGATCTTTAGAGAGAGTAGAGGGATGGAGAGGGGAGAGAAAGAGAAACATTGTTATGAGAGACATAGAGTCACATCGATCAGTTACCTTCTGCACATGCCCCAACCCAGGCCGGACTGGGCCTGCAACCCAGGTCAGGGACCTGCCCTTGACTGGGAATTAAATCCAGACCCTTTGGTCCTTGGGCTGACACTCTAACCACTGGACAAAACTGGCCAGGGCAAATTCAGTTCATCTTGATCATCTGGTGAGATTCTCCTGGTCCTCTGGAGGCATGTTAATGTATATATCTAAGTAGATCAAAGTGAAAGTAGGGGCTTACTAACTTTTTAAAATAATTTCTCTTTTATCCTATGTGATTCTTGTTCGCTCAACTAACAGATGTTAATGTTGAATTGATATGTTCTGAGAAAAATACGAAAACCAGCATTATCTCTGATCAGCTGTCTCTTTTCTTTTCATGCTCACTGCCCTCCCTATAGGAGCCTGTACAGCGAATGGTAAGTTTCCTCGCCACTTGCACAAACTCATTTTTAAATTTTCTTCCTTCATAGACAGAAAACTAGAGGTAGATTTACCTTGTTATATTTTTCTCCATAGCACTTACCACCCAATGACACTTTTTAGGATATTTGTTTGTTTATGGCCAGTCTCATTCCATCAGGGCGGGGACTTTTTATGGTCATTGCTACATCCCCAGCACCCGGAACAGTACCTACCTGGTATTTATTAGGCGCCCAGTAAACATGAATGGATGAAAATAGAAAGTAGGAAGAAAGAACAGAGCTCTATTTAGGAATAAAGGATACTACCTGTGAGTCCTGTATTTTTTATTGACAGCGGACTGATGGCTCTGTTTTTCCTTCTCTTCTAGGGGATGCACAAATTATATTAATCTGGGCTCCTTCCTCATCAAACCAGTGCAGAGAGTAATGCGTTACCCACTGCTGCTAATGGAGTTGCTGAATTCCACCCCAGAATCCCACCCGGATAAAGCGCCTTTAACCAAAGCAGTCCTTGCAGTCAAGGAAATCAACGTTAACATTAATGAATATAAACGTCGAAAGGATCTGGGTAAGAACCAGCATAGTTGCTATAAAGGAGCTAGGCCTTTGAGAATGTTCTTCTTCTCAAAAGAATTATTTCACCAGAGGTAAACAAGGCAGATGGCAGGTTATAGGGTTGTGATGAAGGAACAGTAGTAGAATTTGGGGGAAATGTGATCTGAAGAGAGACAGCAGTAATGATGAAAACACAACCATGGCATATTGGAAGTAGACATCTCTGATAAAGCTTATAGCAGCAAGAGTCTTTGCCAAGAGGTATGAAGACGGATTAGAAAATGGCAGCTCCAGAGTTCCTCCAGGCATGCGTGGTTGCCTTTTCAACTCATTGACGGCAGCCCTTTTCTATCCGTGCTTGCATTTGTTTGCTCTGCGCGTCTGGTTAGGTGTTTCACTGTCTCCATTTAAGTTAGAACTCGCAGTCTTCTTCCAGAAAAGCCCCATGTGCCCCCATCTCTGGGTCCCATCAGTCTGCCGATGCTCAGAAACCTGCCGCTCTCATCTGAGTTCCTTCCTCCCCCACACCTCTCCGCAACATTGCAGTCAGTCACCAAACCACCCACTCACTCTTCCTTTATAGTGTAGAATGAATTAAACCATTCTTTTCCCTTCTCCTCCTCCACCTCTTCGTCCTCCTTTTTTTTTTTTTTTTAAGATATATTTTATTGATTTCTTACAGAGAGGAAGAGAGAGGGATAGTTAGAAACATCTATGAGAGAGAATCATCTGTCAGTTGCCTCTTGCACACCCCCTATTGGGGATGTGCCCACAACCAAGGTACATGCCCCTGACCGGAATTGAACCTGGGACCTTTCAGACCACAGGCCCACACTCTATCCACTGAGCCAAACCAGTTTCGGTCCTCCTCCTCCTTTTTCTTCTTCTTGTTAAGGCTCTAATTTGAACATTCAAGTAGTATGGTGACCATGCTGAACTGATACATTATTGATATCCTCAAAGAACCTATAATGTAGTGCAACCTCTTTTCCTGTTCTCCACTCTTCTCCCCACTTTACCTAAACCATTTCCTCTGCCTCCTACTGCAGTCATTCACCCACATTCATATGTCATGTTGCTCATGGCTGAAAAGCTTTCTAGCCACCTAGCCATTATGGTTCATCTCCTGATGTAATGTCCTCTTCATCTCCCATAGTGATAAGTGTGTCTTTTTGCTGTCCCCCCATCCTTCCCCCTGTGACCCTGCTACTGTGAACCCCAGTGTTTTCTGCAGATTGTGCCTAATGTTGGACACAGTGATTAAAAATAACTACTGTACAACATGTTACTGTGTGAGATAATTGGATATCTCGTTTGCATATGTATGAGACCATTTAAGATGGTCTTATAAGGCAAATACTTTTACTTTCTACATCTTATTGGAGAGGAATGAGTCTCAGAGAAGTTAAGTGACTTGTTTAAGGCCAGACTTTGATGAAATGATAGACCCTGCCTCTGAACTCTGATGCTTCCATGAGTTCAGATCTTTAGGCTCTTTTCCTTATACCTGCTACCTCTCCCCCTTGTCGCTAACCTTCTCCAGTCTGTGCAGTAAGTGTCTCTCTGCTCTTAAGTATTCTCTCTGTCCATAAATGGTGATTTCGATTAATAATTTGTCTATACTCATCCTAAGCTCAATGAGTTTGAGCACTAGCTCTACTTTGGATTGTTTATCTTGTTTTGTAGCTTATTTTATAGTCTGTGCTCAGGAAAGAACTCTCTAACTCACCAATTTGACTCACTCCCTAGTCCTCAAGTACCGGAAGGGCGATGAAGATAGCCTCATGGAGAAAATTTCTAAACTGAACATCCACTCCATCATCAAGAAATCCAACCGCGTGAGCAGCCACCTGAAGCACCTCACTGGCTTTGCTCCCCAGGTGAGGGTCCTGCACGTCAAGGTTCAGCATGTCTTTGGCAGCTTTTCAAGGCTCCATGGGGCAGCCTGTATGGTGCCAGCTGGCAGGACTCCCCTCTTGGTACCTCCCCTGGTGTTTGCTGGCTGGTGGTTACCGGATCCAGCAGCTACTGGTGATGTCAGTCCATCCACCCACCCAGCCCTCTACCCATGCCTCGGTGAGCTGCCTGGGTGTACAAAGGCAAATCAGAAGGCCAATAACTGTGGCTTTAGACACTCATAAAAACCTTATAATTTATTTAGGGAAATAAAATTAAAATTGCAGTCCCATTAAGCTAGAAGGGATTTGAAAGCTCACTTAAATTCAACACCAGATGCTGCACAGAAGGAAACACAAAGTCTGAGGGACTGAGTGATGGACAGTGCTGAGGGTAAATCCGAAGGCTCCCGTCTTCATTCACTATACCATGTATACACAGTACCAGTAAGGGAAAATGCAAGTGAAGCCAAAACCGGTTTGGCTCAGTGAATAGAGCGTCAGCCTGCGGACTGAAAGGTCCCAGGTTTGATTCCAGTCAAGGGCAGGTACCTGGGTTGTGGGCACATCCCCAGTCAGAGGTGTGCAAGAGGCAACTGATCAGTGATTCTCTCTCATCGATGTTTCTATCTTCTATCCCTCTCTGTTCCTCTCTGTAAAAAATCAATAAAATATATTTTTTTAAAAAGAAAAGAAAATGCAAGGAAAAAAAAAAAAAAGTCAGTCGCTAAGCTTTGCAATTTGTTCTCTACCCACTATAGTACTCAGGAGCTCCATGAGTGTGAGCTTCATGTTAGCTAGAGATTTCATCTGAGCCTTAAAGGGGGAGAGGGAGCAGGTGGGTATAGGTAGAGAGGAGAGGGCGCACCAGGCAAAGCAACAACACAGGGTTAAAGGCATAGAGTCCACCGATGAGGCAGGTGCCAGGGAAAATGGTGGACAGAGCAGCCTCACCAAACCAAAGGGTCTCTACCAGGGCGGAGGAGTAAGGGGATCCCTCTCTCAAAGCCATGCAGAGGAGTTTAAATTCAGTTTAGTATGATTCAGGGAAACATCAAAGGTTTAAAATGTAAACAGAATGTGTTTTTAAGAAAGATACTTTTGCCAATAAGGTAGATTGAGGGAGAGTTCACATCAGCTAACAGCACTTGTGTATTTTGAACAGATAAGAGATGAAGCATTTGAAGAAACAGAAAAGAACTTCCGAATGCAGGAACGACTGATCAAATCTTTTATACGAGACCTGTCTCTCTACCTCCAGCACATCCGGGTGAGTGAGGACATTACTCTGGTTAGGATCCCATAGGCACCATTCTGTCCTTTTCCCCTTCATCCAGCATGTTGTTGAATGTTGAACAGTCTGGATTCAAATGACCACGATGCCATGACATGCTTTTTCTCGGGATTCCTAAGGATTATTTAAAAGTTAAGTAACCTTTAGAAGGTCAGCACAGTTGTATTAATTTTAAAGTGTCCAGCCCTTCCTCCCTCTCAGTCTTCCCCACCACCTGTTACTGTCTCCTGTCCCAGGTATGTAAGAAGCACTTAGCACAGTTCATTCTGTCAAAACAAGTTACATTGTGTGTAAGGAGGTATTTTTGTAAGGAAAAAGCAGCAAGAGCCATCGGGGTGCCAGAGTTTGGGTGAAGGAAGCAACATTGCATTACCCAGATGGCCCTGGGCAGTTGTTTTTGGGAAGGTGACAGCGTGAGCCAAGACGCTAAGAGGAGAGATGATTGTTCATTATCACAGTCTTGCAGGAATCATCTTGACTTCAACGTAATTGACTTTTTGATGCATTAAGAAACCCTCAGCCCTAACCGGTTTGGCTCAGTGGATAGAATGTCAGACTGCGGACTCAAGGGTCCCGGATTCGATTCCGGTCAAGGGCATATACCTAGGTTGAGGTCACATACCCAGTAGGGAGTGTGCAGGAGGCAGCTAATTGATGTTTTTCTCTCATCTGTGTTTCTATCTCTCTATCCCTCTCCCTTCCTCTCTGTAAAAATTCAATAAAGTATATTTTTTTAAAAAAAGAAGCCCTCAAATTAGGGACATGAGGAAATGCAAAAGAGATGATAAAAGCCCTCACCAATTTTCCCATTATTAAACGTCTTAGGCTTTTCCCTATGCCCAAAAGTCATAGTTTATGAAACTATTCTTGTTTTGAAGCTAAAATGCTACACCACAGAGAAAAAAAAATAATTTCAAAACTCCTTTCCCCCCACTGGTACCAAGCAATGAATGACGACGGCCAGACAGTTCTGTTTGATCTCACTTGTCTTTCTCCTCACTGGCTCCAGGAGTCAGCCTGTGTGAAGGTGGTGGCTGCGGCGAGCATGTGGGACGTGTGCATGGAGAAGGGACACAAGGACCTGGAACAGTTCGAGAAGGTGCATCGCTACATCAGCGACCAGCTCTTCGCCAGCTTTGTAAGTGATGTCTTCACACTCTGTTCCCGGCTGGCCCTCTTCCTGGGGCTCTCTCTGCCTCCAGCTGAGGAAAAGTGAACCGCAGAGACATGCTCAGTGCATAGGAGTCCTGGCCGTCCTCTAGGATATTTGCAGCAGGATTTCATATCCAAAGGATACTTTCAATAAGTTCAAGGCCAGGCAGAACCTATATGTATTCACACAGATTTTTTTTGGAGCTTGTGATCAGCGTGGTTTCAGCAGACAAAGGAAAACTAGGAAATGTAATCATGGGTCACAATTGATAACTCTGATCAAAAGAAAACAATGATTGGAATGGTAACTTAAAAAGGAAGAGTTAGGGATTGTTAAGAGGTTAACAAATAGATCTTTGAGATTGTACAAACTACAAGGAAAGTACTAAAGGCCACATTGCTTCTGAATTCTAAATAGCTATCCAGTTAACCCTAGAACAAAACTGGTTTTAACTGCATGAGTTCACTTATACACAGACTTTTTTCAATGTATATTGTAAACATATTTTCTTCCTTTTTTAAAATACTTTTTATTTACTTTTTAAAAAAATATATACTTTATTGATTTTTTACAGAGAAGAAGAGATAGGGATAGGGAGTTAGAAACATCCGTGAGAGAGAATCATCGATCAGCTGCCTCCTGCACACCCCCTATTGGGGATGTGCCCGCAACCAAGATACATGCCCTTGACCGGAATAGAACCTGGGACCTTTCAATCCGCAGGCTGACGCTCTATCCACTGAGCCAAACCAGTTTTGACATAAGTACCTATTTTTGTTTTTTATGTGTCAATGCTTTGCGTTTTGTGTCTGTCCTGCTGGAAAGAATTAGAGAAAAGTCCTTTGAAAAATAAAGACATATATTACCAACTAGTTATGATGGAAAAGGTATTATGGGTGTGAGAAAGTTTTTCTATTCCAGATTTATGTAACAACTAAATCTTAAGTTAAAATCAAGCTACATTGGCATCTGCACATAAGAATTGATACCAGACAGACTGTCACATCTGGGTTGTAATGCACCAATCATATCAATGTGTGTAGTTTAGCATTTGTTATCAACTGAGGAGCTAAGGAGGGATCAGCATATTTTGCACTCTTTAGGTGCAGAGTTATAAATTGAGAAGTTTTTTTTTTTAAAAAAAATATATATATTAATTGATTTTAGAGAGGAAGGTAGAGGGAGAGAAAGAGAAACATCAGTGATAAGAGAGAATCAATCAGTTGCCTCCTGCACACCCTCTACTGGGGATTGAACCTGCAATCCAGACAAGAGCCCTGACTGGAAATCGAACCCTTGACCTCCTGTTTTATAGGTCGTCACTTGCCCACGCCTGCTAGGCATAAGTTGAGAGGCTTTGTGGAGTATGTATATTCATCGGGGATTGGGTGAGCAGGACACTTGGATCTGCATGGGTGTTGCTTGTGCACTAGGTGCACAGCAGGTGGTCTAGGACATCACAAATTCTGAGCAACTGCCTTTCTCGTCCCTACAGAAGGAGAGGACAGTGCGGCTGGTCATCTCCCCCCTCAACCAGCTGCTCAGCATGTTCACAGGGCCCCACAAGCTGGTGCAGAAGCGCTTCGACAAGCTGCTGGACTTGTACAACTGCACCGAGCGGGCGGAGAAGCTCAAGGACAAGAAGACGCTGGAGGAGCTGCAGTCGGCCCGCAACAACTACGAGGCCCTGAACGCGCAGCTGCTGGATGAGGTGCCCAAGTTCCAGCAGCTCGCCCAGGGCCTCTTCACCAACTGCGTCCACGGCTACGCCGAGGCCCACTACACCTTCGTGCGCCAGGCTCTGGAGCAGCTGAAGCCCCTGCTCTCGGTGAGTCCTCACCCCCCCCCCCACTCCCACCCCACACTCACCATGGAGAGTTCACCTCTGCAGCTCTCTTGGTGATTTTCTGGAAGTGCACAGTAGGATTGTCTGGGATATTCTGCGAAATAGATAGAGTAAATTTGTTATTAGGTCAAGCCCATTAGGAATTGGAATTCTTTAACCCTTCTGGTGCCTGTGAAGCCCATGGCTTTTTTAAAAATCATGTTTTTATTGATTTTAGAGAGAGGAAGGGTGAGGGAGAGAGAGAGAGAAGCATTGATGAGAGAGAAACTGCAATTGGCTTCCTCTGCACGCCCCCTACTGGGGATCAAACCTGCAACTGGGGCATGTGCCCTGACCGGGAATCAAACTCATGACCTCTTAGTTCATGGGTCAACCACTGAGGCACACTGGCCAGGGCCAGGGCTTTTAATTTTTTTTAATTTTTTATTTTTTATTCTCAGCTGATTTTGTTTTGCTTTGTTTTGTTTTCCTCATTAATTTTTAAAGAAAGAGAGAATGAAAAGCAGGAAGGGGATGGGGAGGGGGAAAAGAGAGAGAGACATTGATGTGAGAGATACATAAATTGGTTGCCTTGCACATGTGCCCAGACCAGGGCTGGGGATTAAACCTGCAACCCGGATACTTGCCCTTCACTGGGAATTGAACCCAAGACCGTTAGGTGCGTGGGCCAACACTAACCACCGAGCAACACCAGCTGGGCTAACCCCTTGGCTTTTAAATGGTTCTCTCTCCACCCTGAGCCATCCCCAGCAGAGCCAGCCAACGTGCCCGCTGGCAGCTCAGTCCCTGGCATCGGCCGCAGTGTCAGTAGCTTACAGAGTGAACTGCCGCTGAACTGCAGCTTCCGGTGGTTTTGACAAGACTGTCAGTCCGGCATCTTTCATCGTATTCTCTTTCCTCCCTCCCCCCCCCCCCCCCTCTCTCTCTTTCCTCTCTCTCGCTCTCCCCACGGTCTCCAGTTACTCAAAGCTGCCGGCAGAGAGGGAAACCTCATTGCCGTCTTCCACGAGGAGCACAGCAGGGTTCTGCAGCAGCTGCAGGTTTTCACCTTCTTCCCAGAGGCTCTCCCAGCTACCAAGAGGCCGTTTGAGAGGAAGACCATGGACCGCCAGTCTGCTCGGAAGCCACTCCTGGGCCTGGTGAGTAGGGAGTGAGCACGCGGATGCCCAGCCTTGCTGTTAAGAAGGTGAACTCTGGAGCCCCACCTCCTGGGTTCAGATCCCGGTACCGACACGTAACTCACTGTATGTCCTTGAGCAAGCACCTTCACCTCTATGCCTTGGTTTCTTCTTCCCTAAAACACAGATACTAATTATACTGCATCATAGAGTTATTATGAGGTTTACATGAGTTAATATATGTAAAGCACTCAGAAATTTTCTGGCAGTTAGTAAGCACTATATCAGTAATCTATTATCTTTGTTATGTTTAGCATCGATGGACTCAGCTCTGTCTGTAGAGATTAGCAATTTAATAGGAGCTTAAATATTTTGTAATAAATAAAAAAAGGTTATCGAGTTCTTATCTATGATGGGTTCATTCATTCATGTACTCTTTTATTTTTTTAAATATGTTTTTATTGATTTTTTTACAGAGTGGAAGAGAGAGGGACAGAGAGTCAGAAACATCGATGAGAGAGAATCATCAATCAGCTGCCTCTTGCACACCCCCTACTGGGGATGTGCCTGAAACCAAGGTACATGCCCTTGACCAGAATCGAACCTGGGACCTTTCAGTCCGCAGGCCGACTCTCTATCCACTGAGCCAAACTGGTTTCGGCCATGTACTCTTTTATCGAGCGTCCCCAGGTGCCTACTGGTATTTGACAGTGAGCACCTGTAGTTTTCTCACACTTGGTATGTACTTCCAAATGCCCTCTGAAAAGCATACTTGGATTTTTGTCTATACAATGAAAGGAGTTAGTAGTCTTAATACTTTGTTCAATTAATAAAGGGGACTGATTTAAGAGTATGTTCATTCTGCTAGTACTCCCTATTTTTTATCATATATTAGAAGAGGTAGTTATTTGATTTACTGCCAAACAGTTCATGGCTAAATGCTTTATTCCCTGGAGATATATCCTATACTTTAAAGCCCTAATATGCAAGTTGACCAAACAGCGAAATGACCAGTCGCTGTGATGCGCACTGACCAGCAGGGGGCAATGCAGGAGCTGCCCCTGGTGGTCAGTGCACTCCCATGGGGGCGCCACTCAGCCAGAAGCTGGGCTCACTGCTGGCATGAACAGTGCTAAGGACCCCTCTGGGGATATCTGACTGCCAGCTTAGGCCCACACTCCCCTCCAATCCCCCTGTGAGCTGGCAGTCAGATATCCCTCAAGGTGATCTGGACTGCTAGAGGGCACAGGCTGAGCTGAGGGGACACCCACCATCTCCCCCAGTGCACGAATGTTGTGCACTGGGCCTCTAGAGAGTGTGTGTGTGTGTGTGTGTGTATTTTTATTTTTTATTTTTATTGATTTCAGAGAGGGAGAGAGAAAGATAGAAACATCAATGATGAGAGAGAATCATTGATTAGTTGCTTCCTGCACATCCCACCCTGAGAATTGAGCCCACAACCCAAGCATGTGCCCTGACCAGGAATTGAACTATTCAACTACTGAGCGATGCCTAGCTGGGCAATATATATAAGACTATATTTTTTTTTAGGTACATTGGCAGTTATATATTTTTAAAAACTCCATTCTTCCATAGTTTGAGAACCCAAATTACATCAGGGCATGCTCTAAAAGACTGAAGATTTATCTTCGTTTATAGTATTTTCACTCATACAGTTTTATAGACATTAACTTAGATTAGCTTAAAAGGGGGAATCACATTTATTATTACTTTATCTTATTTCTAAAAATCTATCTTTATTGTTGCAAGTATTACTTATGTCCACATTTCCCCCCCCGAGGTATGCATGTCTGCATAGAAGTTCTTGTGAATATTGCTTGTTTATATCGATGGGGAAGTCCGCACGAGGAAAGTCTCGGTGGTTTAGCTTCATACGAAGATGCAGTCATATTAAGTAATATTAGGTATTTTGAGTCTTTGGGTGGCACTTTAGTCATTTTATTTATTTATTTTTTTTTTGTCACAAGATGATAGTAAAACTGTGAATTAAACTTTCTTAATATCTGCAAAGGCACCAAAGCAAAGCCTAAGGGATCAAGACTTTCAAGACTCTCACCCGGCCCGGTGCACGGACTCGGGCGCAGGAGCGGCTGGCTGGTCCCGCTCTGAGACTGACATGTCGGGATTGCACCCAGCCGCTGGGATGACGGCCGGGGAGGGCTTCTGCTGACGGTATTTCTCACGCTGCCTTTCAGCCAACTTACATGCTGCAGACGGAAGAACTCCGGGCCTCTCTTCTGGCGAGGTACCCCCCAGAAAAGCTCTTCCAAGCCGACCGGAACTTCAATGCCGCTCAGGACCTGGATGTCTCCCTTCTGGAAGGCGACCTGGTGGGCGTGATCAAGAAGAAGGACCCCATGGGCAGCCAGAACCGCTGGCTGATTGACAATGGAGGTGAGAACGCTGGACGCCAGACCGCTGTGACCCTCAGTGAGGAGCGGCCCCGGGCTGTGGCTGAATCCTGTCTGGGCCGGGGAAACACGAGTCTTTGCTTAAAGGGGAAAATAACCTTGAAAGTTCTGTCCACCTCTGGAGGGTATAATGCCCAAGTGATTACTGAAACAACCCCCATCTTCAGTTTTGGTTTTGTTTTTTACACATTCCAGAGGAGATTCCATTCCTTCCCTTGCGAGGTCTGGTCCTGCTTCCAGCCCTGAGGGCCGTGGGAGCTGCCTGAGGGGGCCTGTGCCCTCGCAGCCAGTTCCCTGCAAACCATAGCATGAGCGGCCTTCTCCCGCGCTCTGTGCCTGTGCCTTAGGAGTGCGTGAAGCTAAAACCTGTGAGGCAGGGGTTTCCGTTTGCTTTTTGAGGTTTTCCTGCCATAAGAGTCTTACCTCATGGCTATTCATGGATGACTTTAAAACAGCTCATAGCTTTTTTTTTGTGGTGGGGGCATGCGGAAGGGGTATAGAATTTAAAGAAAAGCACAAAGAATAATACTGACCCATGACTCTTTCCCCCAATATCAAAATATGAAAAGCTTTGAAGAAGCAAAGGTTTGTGTGTGTGTGTGTGTGTGTGTGTGTGTGTGTGTCCCCCCCCGTCTCAGAATTAATTTGCCAAAACCTGCCTAACCTGAACTCATTTGGTGGGAAAATCTGACAAAAGTGATGTAAGGCTGTTTATAATCATTACCTATCCCTTTTGGTGTGAAGAGCCATATGTTTTGCTACAGAAACATTAGTGGATTTGAATATGGGATATTAACCCAGACCCTGCTGGGGATATTATGAACTACACTAGAGGCCCGGTGCACGGATTTGTGCACCAGTAGGGTCCCTCTGCGTGGCCCGTGGGGATTGGGCTGAAACCAGTAGTCCAACACTGCCTGCCCTGCCACTGCTGCTTATCCTGGCCCCCCTGCCCGCCGCGGCAACTGCTCCACTGCGGTCTCCAGGCTGTGAGGCCAGCTGTGAGCCCTGCGGCTGGCACTCATCAGTCAGCTGAGTGGCACTCCGCTGTGGGAGTGCACTGCCCACCAGGGGGCAGCTCCTGCATTGAGCATCTGCCCCCCCTGGTGGTCAGTGCGTGTCATAGCAACCAGTCGACCTGTCACTTAGGCTTTTATATATATAGATTGTATATGTGCTTTATTACCTTCCCCAAATTAAAAAAAAAAATCTAAATTCTAAAGCATATCTGGTTCTGAGCACTTTAGATACAGATTGTGGGCATACATAATAAGTATCTATGTTCACATTGCCAGAAATGAAAATGTTAACATTTCTCAGTTTCTTTACAGGATCCCTCCCCCCCCCCCTACTTCTTAACCAAAGAATAGAGATTGAAATGGGGAAGGGGGTGAGCAGGTGATGCCCCTGCTAGATTCTTGTAAAGATGCAAGCTGTTGAGAGGGTTCCCTCATCCTTGGAGTTGTATGGGCTCAATCCTGATAAGTGGTAACAAGAAGCCCACAGTAGCTAGATCAGCTGTTACCCTCTACCCCTCGCCATCTTCCTAGGGCCCCTCCCCATCACTCAGCAGATAAAACAAACGTGTGCAAGCATTGTTTTAGCTACAGGAAACGCGTGGAAGATAGGGACAGAGGGGGATCACACGGGGGTCCCTGCCTGGACAGATAGTTGTTTGCTAATATCATAAAGCATTTTCCATTGATTCAGGATTTCAATTCCCAATTTATACTTCAAAGTGTTAACTGAATACCCTCTTTGTCATCATCTTAGGCAACTTGTTAAATGAACATGTGCTGTGCATGTGTTGTGTGTGTGTGTCTAACCAATAGAAACAGCTTCCCACTCGGACTGTGCTCACTATTCCCACCACATTCCTGAACCGGAGATGGGGATGGAAAGAGGGCAAAGGAGGCATCTCTGACGGGCTCTGCCCATGAGGAGGGTCATTCAGATCCCTCTTGCCACACTGTTGTAGTTGAACCCATTCCTCAAGTCATCCCTTAGTCCCTTCCTCCATGATCGAGCTATCCTGTGGAAGTGTCTCCATGTGCTCGCTCTCCAGCTTGTCCTTTCCTTCACTGCCCCCTCGGCCCTCCACGAGGCCTCCTTACCGCTCGTCCGTTCTGAGGTCATAACAAGAGTGAACTGGCAGGCAGACACCCACCCGCATTGCACCCTGGGATTGAATGTCTCATCTGTTCTTTACTGGGCATCTCACTTTGTGTCTCTCACTATGGAAACTTGTGAACCACAGTTTCTTCTCTGCTGATTACCCCTCCGTCCCTCATCCCTCCTCCTCCTCCCGCTAAAAGCTTTTCGTGTCTGTTTTCCCTCCCCGTAGTCACCAAAGGCTTCGTGTACAGCTCCTTCCTGAAGCCCTACAACGCCCGCCGCAGCCACTCCGACGTCTCTGTGGGCAGCCACTCCTCCACCGAGTCCGAGCTCAGCAGCTCCTCCCCCAGGTTCCCCCGGCAGAACAGCAACAGCACCTTGGCCTTCAGCCCCGGCGGCACGGCCGTGGCCTTCACGTCGGGGCCTGGCCAGAAACAGCCTCCAGATGCGTCTTCGCTGAAGGAACTGGACCAGGCCGCTCTCAGCGCTCCCTTAAACGTGGGCCGTTCAGAGAGCAGTCCTTCCAGCTGCCCGTCAGACCCGCACTCCGCCTCCCAGCCCAGGCCCTGGGACTCCGCCGACGTGGCCCAAGACGTGGCCCAGCCGGCACCCACCCCGAGGAGCTACCGAAGCGCCCGGCACCCGGAGGTGGCTGGCTGCTCCGTGCCAGGGCGAAACGGGCAAGATAACGGCCTCCTGAAAGGATGTGTAGGAACAGCCCAGAATGTGGAAGATAAAAACGAAGAGCCGGAGAGCAGCGAGGCATTAGGCAACCAGGTGAGTGCTCCCTGCTCATCAACATGTTTGTGTACAGCTGCTTGCAGAACAGGTGGCAGGTGCGATGTGGGCGCAGATAATGCTTTTTTTAGGGCGGGGCGAGTCAGAGGCCTGCCAGGGCCCGGGGTGTGATCTGGAGATGAGCTCATAGACAAACACTCATGCTGCTGAGTGAGCAACTCACCACCACCCAGGCCCTTTCCGTGGCCGGCTGTTTGTGGCTGTTCTGAGCCCTTTTCTGTGTCATTGGGCATTTACACAGTATTAATGATGAAAACGGTTCCCACTCTTCTGATTTACTAATTCCTTAGTTGTAGAAAGTCTGTTGTTCAACCCATTATTGAGCTTTTTATTGAAATACTATAATTTTAGTTCTAGAATTTAGAAATTCTGGCCCTGTTTTGTTTTTTTCCTGTTCCTGTTGTAACGGCCTGTTGTCTTGGGGATCTGAATGTAGCCTTTGTATCTTGAACATTTAAACCTGCACGTTGTAAAGCCGCGTCTAGATCCACAGCCCTCTGCTTGTTGCCTTTGCTCCGCCTCGCAGCAGTGAGTGGCCGTGTCTGTGAGCTCATCTCCCGTGGGATTGCCTTTGCTGAGAGTCTCGGTCGTGCCCTGGGCTCTGGATTCCGAAACACCAGGTTTCCCACTCGTTTCTCAGCTCAGTCCGTCCGATGAGCACAGTGCAGGCCTGTTTCTCTCTGGCCCAGAATGGACATCCCAGTTCTGGACCTGCCAGTGGGCAGTTCCTTAGACGTGTTGAGGGAGACATGTTTTTCTAAATATATCGACTCTGATATGAATTTTGGTTTTCTTTGACTTTGTCTTGTCCATTGTGATAGCCACCAGCTCTATGCAGCTTAAAATTATATAGTTAGTTAAAATGAAATGAAATTTAAAAAATGAAGTTCCTGTGTCTTTCTGGCCGTATGTCAAGTGCTCAAGAGCCATTGGTGGCTGCAGGCTGCCTTACTGACAGTGCAGGTACAGACTATCGCATCATGGCAGGGAGTTCTGATGGACAGCCAGTGCTCCTCCAGGTGGCTTCCCAGTTTTTTGGCCTAACCCAGTTTTTTACCCCTCACACAGGTCTATTTTGCTGTCTATACCTTCAAGGCACGGAACCCAAATGAGCTGAGTGTGTCAGCTAATCAGAGACTCAAGATCCTGGACTTTAAAGACGTTACAGGAAATACAGAATGGTGGTTGGCCGAAGTTAATGGGAAGAAGGGCTATGTTCCATCCAATTATATTCGCAAAGCTGAGTACACCTGAGCCTGCTCTGCTTCCCGCTCACCTCGCTAACCCTTGCTTCCTTCTGCCGGAGGTGCTGGTGGTCCCGGGAGGGCACCGCTCGGGAGGCACAGGCCCTGTCCCCAACGCCCGCCATGCCACCGGGGCACAAGACACGACTTGTTCTCCGCCATTGGGTCCGCAGCCTTGATGCTCACTAGGATTCCTAGAAATTGCAATGAACCCTGGAGCTTGAAGACAGTTCCATGACCACAAGAAGAGCGGCAAGTCCTGGGTCCGCCGATGGAAATGAGAAATTTCCAAGCAGAAGACAGTATCTTGTGTCTGCTGGGAGCAAGGCAATAGCATTAGAAGATGTTGGCATTGGTTGTACTATGCTCCACCATCACCTGACAGAAATGGACTTTGGGTGAAAAGAATTCTCTGGAAGCCCTTTAGGCTGTGCCTCTGCCTGTGGCAAGGAGTTTGCTGAGATTGTATCAGTTCTGGTATTTCAAAGCTTCAGTGTCCAGCACACGCTCACACTCTGTGCCCACCCCAATTTCTGAAGGTCCTTAAAACACAGCGTGTGTAATCTGTTTGTTAGCTCCCTGACTGGTTATGGAACATTCGATGGCTTGCTTTCTCCTTTGGAAGGGTGTTTAGCGTCTTTATTTCCCTTCGACCTCCATCTGAAGGTTCTCATTTCTTTCGGTGCAGTCATCTGCACCGTTCTGAGAGTGATGTCTGCTTTATACAATCCGTGTGTGATAATCTCCCCAGGCTCTCTCTTCTGCAACCCACAACTGACAGATTTTCCAAGGAGAATAGGATCAGAGCCCCAGCCATTTCGTTAATAGGATTCACTCTGCAAAAACCAGCCCGGCCTGATGAAGACGGGATACCTTTCTTCTTCATCCAACGCAGCGCTATCCACGGATGCAGAAAACTAACACGTGTCTTCTTTTTTAAAATATATTTTTATTGATTTCAGAGAGGAAGGAGGAGGGACAGAGAGAGAGAAACATCGGTGATGAGAAAGAATCATTGATTGGCTGCCTCCTACTCGGGATCAAACTCACAACCTGGACATGCATCCCAGCGGGAATAGAACCGTGACCTCCTGATTCATAGGTGGACGCTCAACCACTGAGCAACACCTCCTGGCCTAACTCGTGCCTTATTTGAATTAGGATATTCAGTCCTGAAAGTAGCTCATCAGAGACTTGGAATTAGCATTTTTCTGTTTTACTCTAACCTCCATGTTCCAGAGATCACAGTCTAAGCCAAAAAGACTCTAAAGTGCCTGATTTGTCCCTTTCTCCGGCCTCAGGAAGATGTTTGCTAACCCTCACCTGACGACTCTCCCCTGAACATTCTACTTGAGCAGGGCTCTTATTAAGGTCTGCCCCCCCTTCTCCCCCCCACCCCCCGTGAAGCCTACCCTGGAACAGAAAACTATGAATTTGCCTTAAGAAGGGAATTAAGGACAGTCTTACAGCCCCTGCTCCACCAAGTGCACCTTCGGCCGACCACCCTGATGAATTGGGAGACACTGGGCTCCCGAGCCCGGGTGCATGCGGGTCGGTCAGAAGGCAGCAGCGTGTGCCTCTTGTAAACAGTTTACATTCAGAGATGTTTCTGTTGGCGTAGTGATTTTATAAATAAAAGTGTTTCTAAGCACCGTGAGTACGTTTTCTTGATTTCCCTCCACATTTAGCCTGAACTTTCCTCTTGAATTTCTGAGGGTATTGTTCTGACAATTAAGCGATGCCCAAATTCCAGGAGATGGGGAGAACTAACAAGAAATTCAAGTCAAAATATATTTGTCAAATGCAATATCAACAGGAATATTGTCTACTCAAGAGATGTCCATGCTGCAGGTGATTGTTTCTTTATTTTAAGGCGTTGTATTATAAAATTAGAGGCCCAGTACATGGATTTGTGCACCGGTGGGGTCCCTCGGCCTGGCCTGCAGGGATCAGGCTGAAACCAGCTCTCCATCATCCCCCAAGGGGTCCCAGATTGCAAGAGGACACAGGCCAGGCCGAGGGACCCCACCGGTGCACGACTGGGGCCGAAGTGGGACCACAGGAGGGCTCCAGGGTGTGTCCAGGCAATCTTGTGCCGTCCCAATCAGCCGGAACCCAGCAGCAAGCTAACTTATAGGTCGGAGTATCTCCCCCCCACCCCCGCCCCCGGTGGTCAGTGCGTGTCATAGTGATTGGTTGAACTGTCGGACACTTGGCATGTTGGGTTTTTATTATATAGGATCCTGGCAGAACAGAGGAGCCAAATTCTCTAAGCTGGAATTCCTAAGAGGTTAGTATTTTTCTGATACTATGAGTGTGGAAACTAATGCATTCGAGCTTAACCAGGCCATAAGGCAGTAGGTTGGGCAAGATTGGGGGTGGGAGGGGCAGATGCAGCAGGAGCACTGGCAGAGGCAGGATTGAGAACGGGATTGAGGACATGTGGGTGACTGACCAATCGTATGATATTGTTAAGGGACAGAAATCATGGTTGAGTAGGGAGTCTCCGTGGGAGAGAAATGTGTAGGTCAACGCTTTCATTTTTATGGATTAGGAAAATGGGGTCCGTCGACATTGTGATGTGCTCACAAGTTTCCGATGGAGCCTGAATTTAAAGTTGGGCCTCAGTTCTTACCTTATTCTGGAGCCAGACTGTCTGACTTCAGACACTTAGAGCTTTGTGACCTTGGCAACTTTCTAACCCCTGTTTCAGTTTCCTCATCTAAAGAGACGGTAGTAGTGGAATGAGTGTTCCACGCACCAAGAGGTTGCTGGTTCGATTCCCGGTCAGGCCACATGCCAGGGTTTCAGGCCTGATCCCCAGTAGGATGCGTGCAGGAGGCAACCGATCGATGTTTCTCTATCATCAATGTTCTCTCCCTCTCCCTTTCTCTCTCTCTCTAAAAAAATAATCTATAAAAATGTTTTAATATAAAAACTAAAGTAACGATAGTAATACTATCCATCTCACAAAGTTGTTGGAAAGATGGAATGAATTAGTGCATGGAAAATGTTAGAGCATCCCCTAACAGGTAGTAAACAAATTGGAGAGCCTTGAGGTCCGAGTCAAGGAATATAGATTTGATGAGTGGTAGTACACTCCTGTTGCTTCTTCAGTGGCTTGACTGCTTTAAGAAAGCTAAATGGCAGCAGGATGATTTGGAGGGTAGAAGATCAAAGGCAAGAAAATCTAATCTGTAGATAACTGATTTGAGCATAAAATGGCTTGAGAATGGAAAAAAGCAATCTTTAAAGAATATGAAATTGAAGAAATGATGGACTCACTGAAAAAGGGAGTCATTGGGATGGAAGCAAGTGTAGGAGGAGGAAAAGAGTTTGTGTGTGCGTGTGTGTGTGTGTGTGTGTGTCTGGAACTTATTTATTTTAATTTATTTTTAATTTAATTTTTATTAAGGTATTATATGTGTACATATCTTTCCATTGCGCTCCCCCTGAATTTTTCGTCTATTGGTTTTGCTTAAGGAAATGAGTTTTGTTTTAAGCAGCATCACAGTGAGCTGGGGCTTGCAGGAATGCAGGCCCCACCTACTGAGCGAGGTCCCAGGTGGTTTGTGTGTATTAAAGTTTGAGAAGCATCTATTCAGGCTTTTTTTTTTTTTTTTCTTTAATGGAACTTTCTATCAGAAAAGTAGGAGTTAGCAAAAACCAAGGAAGGAAAGGGGTGTCAGATGTTTCAGATACAACAGACGGAAATATTATTGAAGCAAATTTCCAAATCCGGTTTGCCTGCTTACTTCCTCTCATGAATTTTCGCCCTTTCCTGTCTGGGAGCAGCTCTTCAGATGTGTTTTCATTCAAGAGTCCTAGGAGAACAGGGTGGGGTAGGGGAAACCTATGGTCATCTGTGAAGTGTAGATTTCTGGCCTCGAGATTATTGCAAGACTGAAACAAGATGATGTCTGCACATTTTTGGGAACTGTGAGCTCTAGAATACATGGTTTCAATAAGGATTGAGTTTTGTGTCACCCTGTTTTAATTAATTGTGAAGCTGGGACTGTTTATATGGATTTTGTTTCAGGATTGGGAATATACACAGCCCCCCGGAAGAGCAGCACTGTGCTCCAAATTCTGTTTCATTTGCAGATCCTTAGGCTCGAGGATCAAGAAACTTTGAGATCTGCATATAACAATCTTAACTCCTCTAGTCACCAAACACTACTCAGGCTTTTAATTCTCTCATCTATTTGTATGTAGTATTGATGATTTAAAAAAAAATATATATATATATATATATATATATATATATATATATGTGTGTGTGTGTGTGTGTGTGTGTGTGTGTGTGTGTGTATGTATGTATGTATATTATTGATTTCAGAGATAGAGAGCGAAACGTCAATGATGAGAGAGAATCATTGATCTGCTGCCTCCTGCACCTCCCACACTGGGGATTGAGCCTGTAACCCAGCATGTGCCCTGACTAGGCATCGAACCGTGACCTCCTGGCTCAGAGGATAATTTCTGGTCTGTGCCTTGGTTTATTTCACTGAACCCCTGGAAGTGTCTTGCAGTTGTTTTTTGTTGTTGTTGTTTTTTAATATATTTTATTGATTTTATACAGAAGGGAGAGAGAGAGAGAGTTAGAAACATCGATGAGAGTCATCGATCAGCTGCCTCTTGCACACCCCCTACTGGAGATATGCCCACAACCAAGGTACATGCCCTTGACCAGAATCGAACCCGGGACCCTTCAGTCCCCAAGCCGACGCTCTATCCATTGAGCCAAACCGGTCTCGGCTATCTTGCAGTTGTTAATGAAGATCAATATTAGTGATCTGCATGCATCAAGAAGGGAGTTTCCAGAATGAACTGCAGACTTTAAAAGATATATCAAGCTATCCATTTCTTACCACCACTCAGAGGTGAGCCTCAGGAGATAGGGGAGGACTTAGTACTTCCCCAGAGGTAAGTTCTGCTGGTGTGGTAGTGGGAGGGAGGGAGCACTCTGATGAGGGCAGCAGCAGGTAGTCATTCAGGGAAAATTCATCG